CTAAACAGCCGAGGGTGTCTAAAAGAATGCTTACATGCAATCAAGTTCAGAGAAGCTGTTAATGATTCATTCAACAATCCATTTGCAATCTTAGACAGCAAGATTCCCATGTTCAAGCATCGTATAGTTGCAATTTTATTACATTACTCGCAAAAATTAAGAGATATTAAAAATGTTCCAAATTATTGGGCGATTTTCAAAAAGGGATAACACGGAGAGAACATTATATTAAAAATTAAATTAAAAAGTTATTTTTATTAAAATATAATCTGTGTTTATGAAACTTTTAATAAGAAGATAATATTGTTTTTTAGATTTTTAACTGAATGCTATTCACTTTTACAGGTATACTAACACAGCTGTCGACCCAGAAGGAGGTTTTATGGTGCCTAAACTGTGCCCTTCAAAATCGGGAGCTCTCTGAGAGTCACGTGACTCGATTTTGGCAAGCATACGGTGACACGATGAGTCCAGTTTCCAGGAAAATTACAAATGTTAATACATTTTATTATATCACTAAGCATGCGGCTCGACTGATGGTAAACTGTTACAGTAGCTTAGGATAGTTACAATATTAAGGGCGTTACGCGTGTTGACGAATCTGTATAAATTTCTTTACCCCTTATTCAAGAATTCCAACATAGACGGAGGTTTTATGGTGCCTAAACTATTGCCCTTTATCGGGAGTTGTCTGGAGTCACGAGACTTGGTTCTGGTAAATATACGGTGGCATGATGAGTCCTGTCTCCAGGATAATTTAGTTAATACCTTTTATTATAATACTAAGCATGGATGCTAGTAAGAAATTTCTTAACTCCTCTTCAAAGAACTCTATGCTGTAATCTTTTGGGAAAACCTTGAGAGAGAGCTCATTCAAAAACTAGGAGCGTCTGCGAGAGGAAGTACCCCTGAAATCACGTTATTACTTAATGGAAGATAATGGAGCGTGCAGCCTAGGTTATCTGTGTACATTGGCAGACTACCAATGAAGGGTGATAGGTGAGGATGAAAGTAGGTCAGTTAACATGCGACTCGTAGGACTTTTTTAAATAAAGTATAACCAATATTACTCGCTGATATTGTTACTTTCTATAAGCGAAACAAGTGTTAAAATCGATTAAGTATTAAGTGCATCATCGCACATATGTAATCTATACAATATATAATATTATGTCGTAGACCATGCGATAGTATGCTTTGTTGGCTATCCATAAATAAATAAATAACTAATCATTAAATTGGAAATTATCATGTACAGATTAACAACACAGTGATTCTGATCCAGATCATATCTTGCCATTTGGCTTCACTCAGAGTTCGAAAAAATCCGATTTTTATATTAAATACCAAAAATCCGATATTTTTACATAAATTCAATATATATCAGATATATATCCCCGCAAAGCTTTATAAGAAAAAAAAAAAACTAATTTCATTCTGTAAGGGGATTACACGCTTAAAAATGTGAAAGGAATTTGTAAAATAAGTATAAAATTATTACTACATTTATTAATACAAAAAAACTTTTAACAAGTAATAAAAGAATAACTTAGTGATTATTTGAGAAATATTTTTTTTAATCAACATTTAAAAAAAACAACTACCTATTATAATAATAATATTATTATTTTTATGAGGTTGCCATTTTGGGAAACAATCTAAATTATTCTGAATTGTAGTTATTCGCTACGTGTTGCCAAGGGTAAACATTAATCTCGAATATTTTTAGTTCAGAAGACAGGAAAAAATCAATTGATATTTATCAACATAAAAATCGATTGATATATATCATGATATATATCCACTGATATATATCGGCGAACCCTGGCTTCACTAAACAATCTCTCGATAAATACGTTTATGTTGTAGTATACATTTGAAACTAGACAGCATATCGTTTTGTTTTTATAACAATAATAATTTAACCTAAATCTTTCCTTTTTAGGCTACTCCAAACAAAGGTCAGGAGCATGAGCAAGATTGAATTTGAATAATAGATATGAGAATGAAAATATTCTATAAAGGCGACGTCATAAAATATATTTCTCAGTATAGTGTCTATAATTTCAAATATAACATAAAAAATTGTACAAAAGTCGATTGCTTGGGTACCTCTGTCCCATTTGTGTTTCAACCGTGAAGCAGTTGTGTTTGCATGGCTGTGTTTCGGTTTGAAGGGTGGGATATGGCGTGAATTTACTGGGTACAGAGGAATAACACCTGAGTCCTCAGGAATGGCAACGCATGGGGGGTATCGTGGGCGAAACAGTATACTCTGTCATGTCCATGGTACTGTTCATGTCTATAGGCGACGGTTACCACTTTCCATCAGGTGGGCCGTCAGCTTGTTTGCCATTCTAAGTTGTATAAAAAAAAATACCTATTATATTCATAGTATCATCATATCAGCCTTTAACTGTCCACTGCTGAACATAAATCTTCCCTTGGAAGGTTTTGCCAGCAGTTGCCACGCTTGGTAGGTAAGTAGGTAGATTGGCAACTGCAGTTAGGCTTTGATGTTTTTTTTACAACACATGCGGCTCACCTGGTGGTAAGTTACTACCACCGCCCATGATCACCCACAACACTAACGGCACTGCAGATGTGCTGCCGGCCTTTTAAAAAGGAATATGCTATTTTCTTGAAGGTTATGTTGTCGTATCGGTTCGGAAATACTGCTGCTGGAAGTTGATTCCAAAGAGTGGTTGTGCGTGGAAGAAAGTGCTTTGATAAACGCACGGTGGAGGACCGCCACTCGTCCAAATGGTTGGGATGAAATTTTTTGTTTAAAAGGGACGCTGCTGCCCATCCCTTGCCCTTTCTTAACTTGTCTCTACCGACACCCACGAGAAAGGTAGGGGTGACTTATTCTATTTCTTAGAATATCTCCAAAACTGTGATTGCCAATTCCCCTTCCAAGCGTGGCAACTACTGAAAAAACCTCCCAAGGGGAGGCTTATATTCAGCAGTGGACAGTTAAAGGCTGATATGATGATGATGATGATTATTATCTACCTGTTTACAATCAAATAGCGTGTGGTTACTTTACCCAATTTAAAAAAAAATCTCCTTTTTTAAAATTGGTTAAAAATACAGGTATTACTTTGATCCTTTACTCTGTTGCGGCGCTCGTTTATAAATTATTAAATGAGTCGTTTACTGGAAGAGATTTGGTTACCGTCTTTGTAGCTATGGAGATGTGTAGATAAATAAAATATTCCGTAACGCGTAATATTTTTTTCCGCTATCAATTTCGAGAGAACGTTTTGCCTAAAGGCCCGCGCAGATGACGGACAGCCTCGTAAAATTTGAGGCAAAATTAAGCTATTTCATTTTAATTTAAAGAACAGCTGACTTTAACTTACGTGTATTCTTTTTTTTTACAAAAGACTTTGTACAAAAGTCGATTGCTTGGGTTCCTCTGTCCCATTAGTGTTTCAACCGTGAAGCAGTTGTGTTTGCATGGCTGTGTTTCGGTTTGAAGGGTGGGATATGGCGTGAATTTACTAGGTACACAGGAATAACATCTGAGTCCTCAGGAATGGCAACGCATGGGGGGTATCATGGGCGTAACAGTATACTCTGTTATGTCCATGGTACTGCTCATGTCTATAGGCGACGGTTACCACTTTCCATCAGGTGGGCCGTCAGCTTGTTTGCCATTCTAAGTTGTATAGAAAAAATAAAATAATTTTTTTTTTGTTCTCGATTAGAATACACGTAAATTAATAATGTTAGTTTTACAGTTATATTTTGTTTAATTCTTTTGAATGGCAATTTTAAAGGGATCTTTTTCCTTGATTCCCAATTTTAAAGAATCCAAAACAATTCCAAATAATCGACGTTGGATCCTAAAACTAAAAATATGAAATCAGGTACTTTGGAAAGAATGCCATCTTATCGGCCTCTAACTGTCCACTGCTGAATATAAGCCTCTGCTTTGAGATAGTTTTGCTAGTAGTTGCCACGCTTGGCAGGCGGATTGGCAAGTCACAGTCAGACACTTCTCGCACAGTCAGGAGACGTTTAAGAGGAACGCTGTTGCCCATCCTTCAACCATTAAATTAAATTCCTAAGTTGTATTTTACAATAGCCATGGGAAAGGAAGCGATGGCTCATTCTATGGTCCAGACAATATGGCAAAAGTTATGTTATTTCTGAAAAATCACCTAATTTTTTTAGTAATTGCAAGGACATTTACTGGGAAGACTACATTGCTACTGATGGGGTCACCAATTCCCATTAAGTTTAAGTTACTAGCATTTCTTTCTCTCCTCTTTACCCGTTGTTAGATTAGAAGCAATACAAAATAAGTGACATCCAATTATAATAAAGTACTGCTGTTCAAGTTGTTACCTACTTCACTCGCGAAGTTGCTGCAAGCAAATTAACTAATTGGTATACTTACTTGTAACTTGTAAGTTGCCTTTCTATATCCATTTATACGTATTTTATGCTTTATGCATATTGCTCGCGTGGGACCAGTTTTATTTATTTAAAATAAACGGATAGAATGTGACATAAAAATATATGCCTTTGCCATTTCTCTTTGAGAAAAACGTTGGTAATTTTAAACATATTCAAATACAGTTTAGGTACAGAAAAATTAACTAAATAAAGATATATTTTTTAATATTTTTTTTATAAAAAAATAAGTAAAATCTTAATTTTAAAATAATTATAAATAAATAATAAATAATTTTTAAGTAAGAGGCGTTACAAAGCAGAAAATAAAGGATTAAAAAATAAAAAAAAGCAATAAATTAAGTTATGTAATTAAATATTAATTTTATTTGTATTTATATTATTTAATCTTTATAATGTGTACCATTCTATTAAGGGTTTTGAAATTTTATCATTTATTTATTCATTCAAATTATAATCAGTAAACAATATTCGACTCGAATACAATAAAAATACTATAAAAACATTTTTTTTTTTAATATATTTTAACTTTATCTAAACAGATGGATAGTATAAATAAATCAGTGGTTACTCACACATGCTCGTCCTTCGCGCTTGCTACGAAGAATTTGCACTCCCTCTTCTGAAATGTGCTCTCGATCCAACTGCGTGTTGTTTTCTGTAACATAGAAATAATTTTATAAATAGGTATTTTATGTTTTATTTAATTTTTTTTTTGTACCTAAACGGGTTTGTAGTGCATCGGGAATGTTCGCCGAGGCGCGTGTCAATTGTTTCTACGCTACTATGCGAAAGCGGTGCACATCTCTGATGCGTAGTGTCCGGGACATCTCTAACGCTATCCTAAGGGTATTTGCCGTCCGTCCAGACTGCCAGTATTTGAATCATTGCAGAATTATTCACATGCTGGCTAACATACAAAAAAAAATGTAGGTTAATGTTATTTGTTATAAGTGTCAAAATTTGATTTAATAATTTATATCTGGTACGAATTAATATTGTTAAAATTTTGTGGGCCCTGGTTGCCTTGATTAAAGAATTTATTTATTATTTATTATTATTATTAATCGTGACTTCGTCGGCATCATGAGGATAATTATATTATTTGACAGAGACAAAAAGTACATTTTATTTCACAAAAATGAAAAACATCGACTTCAATCGTTACAAAATTAATTATTATGATTTAAACACTAAACTATTTAACCAACTTTAATGAGACCAATTTGAAAGTATAAAGATAAAAAAGAATATTGTTTTTAAAACTTATGTTTAGTTTTTATTCGATGTATTTGTACATATGTGACGGGAAATTTATGAACTCACTGTTCTACACTTCTGGGAAGTTTATTCGTTCATTAATGAACTCGCTCAGTGTAGAACAAACTTCATTTGGAATTCGAAACAATTGTCGGAAATGAAAAAACACAATAAGTTCATTAATTTCCCGTTACATATGTATATAGACTTCGATAAAAAAGAATTTTCCTAATTGGTATATAAATAATGGAGTTGTGAGGTAACAAATATAAAAAAAAAGAATCAAATGGAGAATCCAATTCTTTTTTGGAAGTCAGTTGGAAAGTAGCTTATATTTTTCTCCGTCTCATTACTTTAATACATAATACTTGTGGTATTACGTGTATATCAAATTTTATATCAATTATACTTTAACAATTATAATACTTATACCTATTAGCAGTATGTCATGGCTTTAGTATGTAAGTAATATAGGAATATCGATTACTTTTTATAAACGATATATTTGGGTGAAGGATTAAGGAAATCATTTCAGAATTGGCAATGTTATCGAGTAACATATGTATGTATATATATATATATATATATATATATATATATATATATATATATATATATATATATATATATATATATATATATATATGTATATGTATAATGTAAGTTGATCTCCATTCTTTTGGAAGATGTATGAATAAAATAGATGAAACCTGTTCATGAATAAGGGCTCCTATTGAGCTCAAAACTAGTTAGGGATTCCTGAATTTAAAATGCGAGTAAAGTCGACATAAATAATTACAATATAGTATGACTCACGATAGTTATTATTCAATAAAATCCAGTGAATAGAAAACTATTCATTTTACTCATTTAGCTATAAAATCGTGTATCACTATAATATTATTATCACAGAATTATAATTAGAATTATAATGCTTTTGTGTTATAGAACCGTGATAAAATTTTGTCATCATTATATATACCTACCTACATGTATATTGTCACGTACACGTCAAAGTATAAATATAATTCCTTAATATAAAAGGAAATACATTGGCGTAAAACAATAAACTCGTTGATCACTGACAATGTCTTTATACTCGTACATATATGGCACGTGTAGCTTTACTAAAAACAATAATGTAAACGGCGAGCCTAACAAAAGCATTTAGGGATCGACGGGTATGGTAAAAAATGTAATTTCCATCAAGGGATAATAATAAAAACATGGGATCATAAACCCGGAAGATCAGTATATATTGGTTTTAATAATATATACATATTCATAATAACAAAACCGAATAAAAAAGAAATAAAAAATTTAAGAGCGACGCTGCTACCCATTCCTCGCCTTCCCTTAGTCAGCTTTTATGACACCCACGGGTAAGGAAGGTGTAGCCTATTCTATGCCGGGATCATACGGCCAGATCCTCTGTATGTATCTCTAAAATTAACATTCTCTTACGGAAATGTAATCCTCTAAATCCTCTAAAATTAAAATGCAATTATGTGGTAACAAACTTAAAAAAATGCAATCGAATTGAGGACCTTTAAGGAGGAAGTAGGTTGAAAAGACAATAAAAACGTAACACAAAATAACCAATGTAACGCCCGCAAAATCCGATGTTATTGTCGTATTATCATAATCGGGAATACAGACAAAAAGGCACTCAGAATACTGAATACATTAAGCGGTTTATATAGGAATGTTTGGGCCACATGGCGCGACTCGCTCATAACTTTGGCTTCATGCCATCTGGCTTCAATCTTACTCGAGGTAAATAGACTAAATTGTGTTAATATAAGAAATTTCTTTAGTGCTACCCTCTTATATTTTATCAGTGACAGATGTTTACGGAGTGAGCTGAAGTCTTTTCAACCGACTTGAAAAAGAAGAGAGTTAATAAATAAGGTTGTATAACAGGTGAGGTTAACTCTGTAAGAGTTCTCTTCCAGCAAACCCTGAGTGGAAAGGAGCATTAATTACCAACGGGCAGTGTGCGTACAATAAGAGGTGATAACAGTACAATTTTTTTTATCTACATGATGTTACATTAGTAGTATCATCATATCAGTCGTTAACTGTCCCATTCTGAACATAGGCCTCCCTCTGGGGGAGGGGGGGATTTATTAGTTACCACGCTTAACAGGCGGGCTGGCACCCACAGTTAGGTTTTGGTGTTTTGAGAGAAACGTTGCTGCTTACGCCCTCGACCATTAAATTCTCTTAGTCGCCTTTTATGACACCCATAAGAAAAGAAAGGTCCATCTATATCTATCGGAACCATACTGCTATGTGATTTATTACATTAGTTTTTTAACTTCCAAAATCCACCTATAAGTAGTTGTACGCAAAAAGTTGTCTTAAATAGGTATTTATATTATTACACTGATACTACAACATATAAATACGTATATACATATACATATATATTGTTCTTTTTAATTCATTTAATATGGTACTGACATGAAAATAACCTTTTTACAATTTACAAAAATAATAATCAAATTCAGACTTAATGAAGATACATATCGCGTAATGTGTAAAGAAATACAGACAATTTAATAATATAGTCTAGTTGGCTATACTAGTAATAAGATTAAGAGATAAAAAAGGCAATAAACGTTAGAAAACTTCAAAAAGCTAAGCATGAACGAGCAAATATAAACAAACAACTGAAATGGCAACTCCTATCTTAATGTTTGGAATTTACATATTCAGGTTGGCTTTGTTTTAACTCCGTCTAGCAAAGTTCCTTGCAGCATCCATTTTGTTGGCTGCTAAAGCGATCTTGCGTTTTTATGACCTCTCAAGGTGAAAATGAAATTTTAATGTTTTATTCTGAAAGTTTAATTATTATTACTATTCAGTATAGAAACACTTTGGTTGTTAAAGTCATATTGTACCTATAACTACCTGTAAAATTAAATATATGGGGAGGGGGGAGGGGAAAGGATTGTTAGTAATGGGATCTAACAGCTCCATTGCTAGCAATGTTCCTTATAAGATCGACGCGGTTCCTCCTGGAAACCATCGTTGTTAATTATTGTGGAAATTTACTCAATGGGCTTACTAACCTACTTTCATTATCATCTATCATTTCTCACTGGTATCCGCGTAAACCGATAGCGCAGGTGGGGTTACTATTCTATTATCACACATAAAAAAAATAGATATATGTGAATCTATGGATATAGCACGTGTGTAGAGTTTTCAGTGAATTATACTGTTAATGGTTCCTAGTTGTGTCTGTAATAAATGAATGTTTAATTCCACACTATCTTGCGCTTATTTCGATTTTAAAAGAATTAGAAATAGCTTTTAGTTATGTGATATGTACCTATTCTACTTTCCAACAATTGCGAAAGTTTGTAAAAAAATATGTTTGTTATTTTATTATCTAAAAACGGCTCAATAGCTCGACTCGTCATGTTAACATAGCAGTGAATACTTTCGGTGCATTACAACTTATGTTTCTTTTGGATTTTTTTTTCTGTTTTATTTGTAGTATATTCTCTTAAAGGATACTAATGATTTTATCTTGCTGGTTACCAGTAGGATATTTTGTACAAAACTTGTCTTGGGTACCTCTGTCCCATTTATGTTTCTGCCGTGAATCAATTGTGTTTGCATGTTTCAGTTTGAAGGGTGAGATATGGCTATAATATTACTGAGTACAGAGGCATAATACCTTAGTCCTCATGAATGGCAACGCATGAAGGGCATGGGTGACACAGTATACTTTTGACTATGTTATTATTCACGTCTATAGGCGACGGTTACCACTTTTCACCAGGTGGATTGTTAACTTGTTTGCCATTCTACGTTGCATAAAAAAGTATTTATTTTACATACATGACTTTATATAATGAGATTGTATCTATACGATGTCTGTGTATATAGGAGATATCTAAGAAACTGTCGATATATATATATATATATATATATATATATATATATATATATATATATATATATATATCTAGATTTTAATAAAAATTGTTTGTTCTATCATCACGCAAAATCTACTGCACCAAATTGTCTACTGTCTTTACAGTTCTGTTTCTGTAAGTGTTATTTAAAAAAAATTATATGTATAATTCTTCTAGAAGTGATTAATTTAATTGGTTTCCCCATTTCTAAAATCCATGCATTTAGGAAGTTGCGGGTGAACGCTGGTTCTTTATAAACCAGCAGGTGGTATCAAAACATTTATTAGTTTAATAACTAACGGTCACCAACAAAACTCTCGACTCTACAGCAAACTTAATTGAATAATTCATGAGGACACCACGGTATTGACACTCGGGATGTCCTCATCTATAATTCTGCAAGTTTTGGGTGTCACTCGATCTGTTTTACTGCTTCGTAAATGATCTCAACACTTATATGTTATGA